GGCAATTGGTCGTGGCAAGGGATATGTGATACGTCTCAAAGCAGAACTACCGAACACGATAAATACTTGTTTACAAAGTCACAGGCAGGAAGACTCAGGTCTATAGAAAAGATAAACCGTTTGAAATCAACTGGAATTTTATATCACATAAATGCTATGGTATTAGTATATATTATTACGATATACAGGATGATTGAAAAGTAATCAGGAAAATTAAAATTCCGTGTAGAGTAGACAATTTCAAGTTGAATTGAATGAATAAAATGTTACACCCACATAAAACTAATGTCGAATATCTCGAAAGCAAATGCCGTCCAGAAAAACTTTATTCTTTCATTTCGACATGAGATTAGTTGCTGTACATGGGATTTGAATTTTGCTGCCTACTTTTGGATCAGCTCTATACTAACTGTAAGCATTCTTACATAGGCGCAATAGAAAATTTATTAAAAAAAAGCGCATAAATGGATTCACACTGAAGTGTGAACAATAAAGCAGAATTACATATACCGAGAGATCAAAAAAGCCGGTCCGCTAAAAACTACTTTCCCAAGCGCTTGATACCAATATTTACTGCCTTCGTCACAGCCTTCTTCCACCTCTACTTGTTTTTAATTTTCAACGTTCTTATTGGTTGACGAGGTGATATCGATTTTTAGTTTCGATGGTTTCGATTAGCTGAGCTCAGAGTCGTCTTCTTGGTTTTGGCGTTCGGTATTTTCAATATTTCATTTTGAATTTATTGCGGTTTTATTTAATATTATCTGTCTTTATTAAGACAAAAATTCGATTGTGATTTTTCTATAAGGTAAATAATTATTTTATTTTAAATCGGTTTCGTTGATTGATTTTTAGGTTAAATCATGCCGTGCAGCTTAGAAGAAGACAAGTTTCTTCATGGGGTATCGAAATATTCAACAGGTCTTTGTGTTTCTTCACAAATTTAGAGAGACATTCCCGAAAAATGTAGTGAATTATGATACCTTATGTCATCACCATCACATTAGGAAAGTTGTCAAACGCTTTGATGATTCTAGAAGTGTTGGTCCTGGAAAAAGCCCTGGTCGACCGAAAAAATTAACCGAAGAAGTTGTTGAAGATATCCGAACCCGTATGGAGCCAAGTCCCCGGAAACCTTTACGACAATTATCACAACAAACAGGATTGTCCTACGGATCGTGTCACACCGCTGTGAAAAAAGAATGACATTTCACAGCTTATAAAATTCGTGTAGTACAAGAATTGCTGCCCCTAGATTTTGAAAAACGTATTACATATTGTAATTGGTTTAATGAAAATTTAAGAAATAATGATGTATTGGACAAAACATTTTTTTCTGATGAGGCTTGGTGTCAGGTGTTAGTTGCAGGAGGTCGCGCCACCTATGCGTGGGTTTTAGAAATAGAATAGACAACCGTTAAGTATCGCATGAACTACGTCGTAAAAAGTCAGTTAGATTTAGTTAGTAACGAAGCTTGTGATAAGAACAGTTTTTGATATATATAATAAAGTAATCTAATACAGTGGTGTTGATTTATTGAGAACAACATAACGTTACAGGTTTTATTTAAATGGTTATGTGAACTCACAAAATGATCGACATTTGAGTTCTGAAAATCCACATGTTTTCAATGAAGCACAGTTACATCCTGTTAAAACAGGAGTATGGATTGCTGTCAAGACGTAGAATTATTGGCCCTGTCTTTTTTCATGACACACTATAACGTCATCTGGCGGAACAGCAGGGCTCACCAACCGCTACATAGCGGTAAGGTTGCCGCTCGCACCCGGAGACAGGCTGAGTGGCAACCCAAGCGGCAGAGATATGCTACTTCCACAGAACCCTCTTTGCGGGAATCCAAGAGGAAGAGGCAGGAACCTGCGCAGGGTCAAACGGCTAGCAAGGGCCCGAAAACGAGTTTCAATGACGCATTGATATCGCACCTTAGGGTCGCGGTGATAAACGGAGAAAACCAGCTGGGGAAACTCAGCGAGAGAGAATCCGACAAAATTAATGCTGAGCTAACACTAAAGCTCTGTCAAACATTGATTACTAAGTAAAGCTACTAATGATGCCGACACCGACGTTCGCCTCGATGGTATCTGTAGGGCAAATTTTAAAAATCGCCTGCAATGATGATGCTTCGTTGGCGTGGCTAAAGGCGACAGTACCGCTGCTTACGCCTATGGAGGCCGTAACACTTAGCGTGGTTAGGGAGGCTGATCTACCCTCCTTATCAAGGATCCAGATCTGGATCCCGGACTGCGAAGCAGATTTATCCGAGAAGGAGAACGTACTTCGCATTTTTGCGGGCCAGAATCGACATCCGGACGTAGCTAATTCCTGACCCTAAGTGCCTCTTCCGGTACGAGGACAGGAGGGGCTCAAGGCCGCCTCGTGGTCTTCGGTTCTGGAAAGAAGGACCCCGAATGGCTGAAACAGAATGGGGGGAAAATCTGCTTCCTCTTCAATACTGTAAGGGCCCGCGTGAGCTTGAGATTAAAGGATCCTGAAAAGGACAACATTGTGGCTGTGGAGGAGGAGCTGGCAGAGGGGATGGAAACAAAGGTGCTTCCACTCGAAGAGGTAGACGAGACAACTCTCGTCAACCTGGATGCCGACCCGAAGACCCCGGCTTCGTCAGAGGTGCTGGACGAATCCATTTTGGAGGGTGGTTCTTTGGTGGAGGCGTTGACAAACACACCTCTATTAGAATGCTGCACGGACTATATACCGGCTAAATTCACATTTTCAAGGAAATACCTCACCCATTGTGTTTCCACAGACGTAAATGGAAATAACACCCTTAAAATCTACACTGATGGTTCGTGTAGACGGACTGGTGCAGGAGCGGCAGTATTTTTTAACGATCTACAGCTCCGTCTCTTCATATCACTTGGAGAAGGCATCACCGTCAAGCAGGCGGAATTAGTCGCTATAAAATTTGCTGCTGACTACATTGTTAGCTCCAATTACGGAGGTACGACTTTTACAATCTTTACCGACAGTAGACAATCTGTTTTAGCTCTAAGAAAGGATAAATTTACCTCAGCGCTGATTATGGATTGTCATTTGGCGCTTGAAGAGGCGGCAACACTAAACAGTGTCACACTGCAGTGGATAAAGGGACACTCGACTCACTCGGGAAATAAACACGCCGATAGGCTGGCAAAAAGGGCTGCTGGGAAACTGTCCTGTTCCCCTTTGCAGACAGTTGTCTCTTGTATGGTATCTCATAGTGAGTTAATCAAAAGCCTAACCCGCAAAAAGTTCCTTGACTGGTGGGATAGAGCTAAAGGGTGCCAGTTAGCTAAGCTACGGGACTTGTTACAGGTCACTGTAAGGTAAATAAACACCTTTATAACATAAAGTGTGTTGACAGCCCTCTGTGTCGTGCTTGTGAACAAGACCACGAGACGGTTCATCACATCTTGTGTGACTGTTCTGCCCTTAAGGACCTCAGACTAAGAGTGGTTGGGGAAGAATGGCCTACTGCGGATGGCGTCAGAGACACACCTCTGACCTGTATGCTAGCCTTTGGTAACTCCTTAGGCTGATCGATATAACCGAAATGAGTGTTGGGAGGATGCACAAGGGGCCCGTTGGGGCCTAAGTGCTGTGTGCGTTGCATGCCCTCCCCTTCTCTTACATACATACATACATGACACAGTCAATGCAGAAAGGTACCGAGCTTTGTTACAAGAATTCATTGAACAATTACATCCTGATGAATTACAACAAGGATTTTTTCAACATGATAATGCAACCGCACATACTGCACGAACAACTGAAAGATTCCTTCAATATTTTATGATGATCGAGTAATTGGTAGAGGATGTTGGTCACCTCGCTCAGCCGATCTAACCCCTCTAGATTTTTTTTTATTTGTTCATTTAAAAAATTCTATCTACAAAAACCGGTTACATACCATAGAAGAATTGGAAGATCTTCGTCTTCGATAATATGAAAAGAAGAATCACTTTATGTTTTTAGAAAATAATGGTCAACATTTTCTTTTGTTATAATAAATAAAACAAAACTTGTAAACCTTTAGTTTTATAAAAAAGATCTTTTTTGATTTATGAAATAAATTAATTAAAAAACAATAGTTGAAAAAGTTTTCTTTTTAATAATTAACCCTTTCAAGACGGTTGTCGTATATACCCGTCACCAACTTTTTTGGCAGACGGACGGCTGTCGTATATAGCCGACAGCAGCTCATTTCCCTTCTGTACGCTTGTCGTTTCAGATATGGCATACATAAATTTTTAATTTGGCCCACCGACGGCCGTCGTACCGTTCCGACAGTTTGTGTTTGTCACACAAACGGATGTCGTGGATATCCGACATTGTCGTACATACGCGGCAACATGGCAAGGTCAGGTGATACCCTGATAGACCACGTGCGTTTAGTACCAGTCTGTTTTAGAACATGTTTTAGAATGTCATCTAAAAATCACGCGGGTCCGTCGGGTTGTAATACTTATTGTGGACTGTCTGGGAAGGAAGTGAAAAATATTATGAATGCTCTGAACGATAGTAATATATATTTGAGTGAGGACGAACCATTTATCGACAGTGGCAGCGAATATATCCCTGACTCTGACAGTGAATTGAGCTCCGGAGAAGACGACGAAACCTTGTTGGAAGACGAAAGTACCGAAGAACAAGAACATTTAGTAGCTTCGGATATCTCTGATCAAAATATACGTGAGGAGGAATTTCAGCTAAAATGGGATTCACGTGAGTTTGTTCCTAAAGTTCACCAGTTTGACGTCACTAATAGTGGACTACAGAATAAAAACCTAAAAAATGGAAACAAGGAAATAGAGTATTTCTTGAACCTATTCTCGGAAGAAGTAGTCAACACTATTGTTGCAGAAACCAATATTTTCGCTCAGCAACAAAATGCTAAAGATTGGAAAAACGTTGATAAACAAGAGTTTTACAATTTCATAGCCCTCACATTGTTGATGCCCCACGTGAAAAAGTCCGATGTAAAGGACTACTGGTCTACAGATAATTTAATTGGCAGGCCCTTTTTCCGCCAAACAATGTCTCGAGATCGCTATTTACAAATACTAAGGCACTTACATTTTAGTAATAATCAAAATGCACAGGAAGGTAATCGTCTGCACAAAATCGAACACGTTTTGAATTTGATACAAAACAATTTCAAAAGTAATTTTTATCCGTTTGAAAATGTCGTCATTGATGAAAGTATGATTCTTTTCAAAGGGAGGCTGTCCTTCAAACAGTATATAAAAACCAAGAGACACCGTTTCGGAATAAAAGTTTATGTCTTATGCGATTGTGAAACAGGTTATGTTTTGGGATATTTGGTATATACTGGCAAAAATAATGTTAAAAATAGAGATAATGACAGCGGTCTAGGATTGTCAGGTGATGTTGTTGTGAAACTTTTGGAGCCCTACCTGAACAAAGGCCATTCATTTTACAGTGACAACTACTACACAAGTCCTACTTTGGCAAATTATCTTTTTCAGCACAAAACAAACTCTTGCGGAACTGTTCGCATAAATCGTAAACACATGCCAATATTTGAAAAAAAGCTGAAGAAAGGGGAAACAGAGTGGCGTAGCAGTGAGCAAATGCTAGTATTGAAATGGAGAGATCGTCGTGACGTGGTAATGCTGACCACCTTTCACGAAAATAAAATGATTACGCTTAGTAAGGTTGATAGGGTTACTAATGAAAATAAGACCAAACCATTATGTGTACTGGCTTACAATGAAAGGATGGGGGCAATTGACAGAAGTGACATGATGATTACCAGTACGGATTGCACGCGAAAAACCTTAAAATGGTACAAGAAATTATTTCTTCGTACCCTCGATATATGCATGCTAAATGCGCATGCTTTATATAAGACCCAGAATGCCAGTAACATCTTATTTCCTGCCTTCCATTTAGAAGTTATCCGGCAGCTTCTGGAAAGGTATTTTTATTCTTTTATTTTTGTAAATTTTTTATCGTACGCATTTTTTAGATATCCAGCGCAATACCAAATGAAACAAAACATACAACCTCCTACCGTGGCCAGACTATTAGGAAAGCACTTCCCTTCAGAAGTTCCTCGCAAAAATGGGAAAGCGCAAATGAGAAGATGCTGGGTCTGCTCGCATACAACAAACGGTGCAAAAAAAAGGAAAGAATCGAGATTCATGTGCAAAGATTGTGAAGTCGGGCTCTGTGTTGCACCATGTTTCCAAATATACCACGAACAGATCAAATATTAGTAGTAGCAGTAGAAACGGGGAAAAAAGACTAGATCAGAAGAAAAGGCTCACACTTATTTTTGATATTTTGTTCCTAATATTTTTATTATTTGTTAATTTTTGTTCTTATATTTTTGCTTTACCAAGAGTTTTAGTTAATTTTGTATTGTTTGATTATTTCTTCAATAAAAACAACTTTTTCCACATTGTCGTATATATTCGACAGCCGCCTGTTTGCCACTGCAAAAACTCCCGTCCGTGTGGCACGCAACCTACTTTTGAGTGCCGTCCTGAGAGGGTTAATCCTTTTTAATTATTTTCATCATAATTTAAAGTTACATCCGCCAATGTAACTCTAACTAATTTTTAATTTTGTGCGTGTGAGTTTTTAAGGTTATGTTTACTAATCTAAAAAAACCAGTCCACAGGCAAACGAGAACACGTACTGTGAATATCGTGAAGGAGAAAGCGGCCCAACTCAAAAGTGCATGAACGATCGTGCACTCCAAATTCTTGTGGATTGCACCAACATCTTTATCCGGAAGATTCAACCAAAATTTGGTAGGATGCAAAATGATAAACTCAGTGCTATACGTGATTTGTTCTCAGTGATAAACGAAAATTATATTTCCAGTTACGTGCCAACTTAAAAAGTGACCATAGATGAACAATTGGTGGTACCTTCCGTTGAAACCGAACCGATACGCCATCAAGGTCTTCGCGATGGTAGATTCAACGACTTATTACCTTCAGAATATGGAAAGCTACGTGGGAACACAACCTGAAGGCCAGTGTCTCATGAAGAACTCAGTAGAGAAAATAGTGTACCGTCTCATCTCCCCCATACATGGAAGCGGCCGGAACGTTCCCAACGATAATTGGTATACAAGCATACCTCTAGCACATGGCTTGCTGAAACCACATAATCACACCAGTGCCCACTAGTAATACCACCATCATTTCAACCCTGCAAAGAATGTCAAGTCAAAAGCTGTATGTTTCTCTAAGCCGCACCACGAAAACATGACCATGGTTTCCTATGTTCCACGGAAGAGGAAGGCTGTCGTGTTACTTTCAACACTGCATCTGGAAGGCGATCAAATACGATCAGATCATCAACGACCAAGAAAAACTGGAAATCCTCAAATATTACAACTCCACGAAAGGTAGAGTGGACACCATGGATCAGATGTGCGCAACCTACGATGTTGGTCGCCGAACGAGAAGGAAAAAAGTGTAAAAAAATTCATAGACGCGATTTCTTGAAACAACTTGTGCTACAGTTGGTGAAGCCGTTCTAGACAAGTAGGCTGAATCTCCAAGGGACGTCAGAAGCCGGAGCGAGCTAAAATTTGGAATCACACGTTAGGCAATACCGGAGAATCGAAAGAATGCAAAACGTAAGCGCTGCGATTACTGCCTCCGAAACAATGACAAAAAATATCAAGAATGGTGTTATTTGTGCGAAAAAACTTTGTGCGCGAATCATAGGAAGATTTTATGTGAAAATTGTTTGAATCTTTTAAATATTTATTAATTATTTGTTAATAAACAATATTCACTGCAAATGTTTTTCTAATTTTTTTCCCTTCAATTTTTAAGATATCAGGTTGAGGTCATGAGAGACCCCATGTGCCCACTAACGTAAGTATCTAGGCTCGCTTTGTTAAGGGTTAAGCTCGAAGAATTTGATTATAACATTATTTACAAAGAAAGTAAGTTAAACACCAATGGCGACGCACTCTCACGAATTGAGTTAGACACTAAAGAGAGATTTGTTATCTTAGCATATATGGATGATTCTAATACCAATATTGATTCCATACCTATTGGAATAAATTGCATAGCAATTATTAGCATCAATTGCCGATGCTAACGATTCTATTTAAGTTCATCCGGATAACGAACCTTTAGATATTGTAGATTTAGATAATATTCCAGATTTAGACCCACTTCATTCCAATGATCAAAACCCCATAGTTGACATACCTATTTGCGATACTCCTATAAATCACGGAAATAATCAAATAATCATATCTTCTGTATTGCATATTCCAGCCAAATCTAAGCTTGAAACAAAAAAATTTGATTGTTACATTACGAGACAAGAATGCAGGTTTGGTTATTATCCCTAAAGAGGCTTATATCTCCAAAACCTATGAATTTTTTGAACAGAACAACATTAAACACATTAACAAAGACCCTACACTTAAATACAACAATAACCTAAAGATACTTATTAATGCCTGTAAAGAAAGTATAAAAAATTTCGATATCAACACGAATCTCCTTACCCAAATGAACCCATTGTCTCCTACACTCAATTCTCTTATTAAACTACATAAACCTGAACAAAGCATTAGACCCATCATTTCCAATATTAACACACCTAATGAAATTATCGCTACACCTTTACAGAAATTCTTATACAACAACTTTCAAAAACATTTTATTTACACTATTAAAGACTCATAGAACAACTTTCTAAAGTCAAAATTAATAATAAATCTATTTTAGTTTCCTTCGATATAAATGTTAGAAACCGTTAAAAGAACATTCGAGAACGATTGAAAGGGTGGGGACGCGAGAAAGCGGCGTGAACGGTTAGTCGTAATCGGACGGTTGTTGGGTGTGTGTCTATTCTTGTAACCTAACCTCACTTGTAACGTTTTATTAAACATATATTTTGTTCCTGACAACGAGTGATCTTTTCATTCATTCGCACATGAGAGTTTCGGTTGGGAGATTCTAACATAAAGAATTTATATTCTAATGTTCCTGTTAATGATTGCATTAACATAATTGAAGATTTCCTTTGTATTAATAAAAAGAGATTTAATAACGTTCATTATAAAGACATTTTTCGTCTTGCTTCTGTAATTAAGTTAGTTTGTTAACAAAATTTCTTCATCCTCAATGGCAAACATTGTCGTATGACCGACGGTTTACTCATGGGGTCTCCAATTTCCGGTATCATGGCTGATATCTATGTGAACAAATTTGAGGAGACACTCTTTTCTGAAAAATATTCCTTGTTTACCAAGGATATAGTTTTTTATAAGAGATATGTTGATGATATTTTGATTGTTTTTAATGGTAATAAGGCTCAATTAACTGCCATTACTAATGTCTTTAACAACATTCGTGTACTTGAATTTACTACTGAATTGGAAAAAGATTCTAAAATTTCTTGGATGTTACTATTTCCAAGGACCTTTCAAGGTCATCACTTAATTTCAACATATACCGTAAAGACACAGCCACTGATACGATTATCCCGAAATCCTCCTTCTCCGGTTCACATCATAAATTTGCTTCATTTCGTTTCCTCTTTAATAGACTCCTCAATTTTCCCTTACAACATTCTGACTTTATTGTTGAACTAAAAAAGATAATCAAGATGTGCTTAAATAATTGTTATTCTCTTCAAGAAATTCAAAACATATACAGGGTGTATCTGAATGACTGCAACAAACTTCAAGGGGTGATTCTTTAGTGAATTTTAACGGTACTTTGATATATGAACCATGGGTGACTTCGGCTCCCCTAAGGAGCTACAACCCTCCAAAAATGGCGGAAAATTTTGGTTTAATTTGTTTTTCTCAAAAACCATAAACGCTATGAAAATGAAATTTGGGGAATATGTTTAACTCATAATAGGGCATGTTTTGACCCTACTTGTACTTTCAACCTACCCTTATAAACTACTTACGATAACATGTGCTCGGCTCTCATATTTTAAGGTAATTTTAATCTTTAATTATTTTAAGTAGTATTAAACATCACCCTGTTTTCTTACAACTAATTTTACTTTTTAATAATTTGAATTGTTTTATAGATTTTTGAATTGTTCTTTTTGGTCTTTCGCCGCCTTCGTTATGTTGTTTCCCCTTATTTCATTGCAACCTCTGATGTAACTGACGGTAATTATTAATTATTTTATCCACCTTTAATTATAATTTTGACACCTTATGTTAATTACTTTAGATGTACCTGATGACGCTTTTATGAAAAAAGCGTACAGATTGAAAATTTAAATAAAATAAACATTATTGTGAAGTAAAAGATTAGTTCTTTTTGTCTTTTTAATTTATCAACTTACACAATGAACTTGGAGTTAACCATCGCCAAACCTTGTTAGAGATCGCATAATTCTTGAAAATAACGGAATTGTACTTAAAAGGAACATTGTCATAAAAGGGTCGTTACTTGCTGTCGTTGGTGATAATTTAGGCAGTCACCAAATAGGAGGGTTTTCTGAATATTTTAAAACATATACTTACTTCTGTTGATTCGCTTTATAAGATGGAAGTCGGGTGGACGATGATGAAATACTATTGCTCTTAAAGGACGAAATTTTTATCCTTCTTGAGAAAGGTGACAAATGGAAGTATCCAAATGATGAAACAGATTCGCTACCAACCAGAATAAGTCGTAGTAGAGGATTCAATGACGACTTCAATACTCAGCTATTTAGCCCAATTGACGTTAAATATGGACAATATACTTACGGTTTCGCTAGATAATAACAACTATAACGATCCACAGAAAGGTTTGGATACAAAAGACATTGACAATACCGCTAATTGTGCTATTGCACTACATTGTGGCCTGCCTCACAAACAAAAATTTCGACTTATGTCATACAGAAATTAGAAAACGGCGAAAAGATAAGGCATTCATTTTAACTTTTTGTATGTTTTATGTCTTTAATCTTGAATATCAGAAGGAAACAAGTTCACACTTAGAGTTTATTCCACTTTTTTTTGTATGCATCCACCAAATAATAGACCTCGTTCACAAAAATCCAACTCAAAAAATAAAATTTTAAGTTTTATAAACAAGTTATAAACAATATAAATAAGAATATTCCCAAATTAATCGAGTAACCGGTCAGTTGAAAATTAATAAAACAACTTTTTTTAAAATAGCTTATACATTTCGGTTAATGTTTATAACCTTCTTCAAAGCATTTCGTTAGCTATAAGGAAAAGTTTTTCATAATTAGAGTTAAATTTCTTTTAGTTAATCTCAAAATTATAAAAATATAAATGCCAAAAATCCTTTTTAAAAACAACTTACTGGTTTTTTTAAAGTAAACCAAGATGTACATCACAACCTTTCAAAGTGTTTATTAACGGTTCATTCAACATCACAATCGATGGAATTAAAATGAACGTATTCAAATCAACTAGGCTAACAAGTAAAAATTTTATAGAACACAAACAGGAATTTATCGAATCAAAAAAGTTGATTGCTGCGCGTGCGTATTAAGTATTTTAACAAAACAAATACTTTTGTAAAAGTCG